TGGCAGAGAGGAGGCAAGATCTGTCCAGGCGGGCCCATGTCCAGTTGTGCAGCCCGTGCTCACTGTTGCCTCCTGTAGGGACCCCATCCACCCCCCACTCCTCGGGTGGAAATGACAGACTCCCACAGTGGGGGACTCAACGGGGTGACCCTGCACCTCCTCCTCCATGGGGGTGTGGCAAGGCCACTGTGCCCTACATAAGCCCATGGAGGCAACAGGTGTCTGGACTGGAGCTGGCCAGGCAGGCAGCGTGGGGAGGGGTCAGCAGCGGAGAGAGGCCGAGGGGGCCCTCTTGGTCCCTGGCCCCATCTCCTTTCCCATGGCTGAGGCTGGGGACCCTGGCGCAGAAGCTACAGGGGGCGGAAGACACAGCTGGAAGGCCTGCCTTCCCGCACTGAGCCCGGGAAGGACAAGGTTGGGACTGTGGAGGAACAAGGTGAGCCACAGGCAGGCTCTGCCCTCTGGGAACCGAGGTCTGAGGTCTGAGGACACCGGGGGGCCGGGCGGGGCCTGAGGGCATTAATTACAGGTAAAGGGACGGGGGCGAGGGAAATGGTGAGGGAGGGGAACGGCGGTGGGTAACGGCCTAGGGAAGAGCGGGCAGGCCGGCCTTGGGACCCCGGCACCTCCGGGCGGGCCGGGGCGGAGGGGTCCCTTCGGGCCGGCGGAGAGGAGGGGCCAGGCCGGCGCCGGCAGCAGGTCGTCGGGGCAGGCGCCCTCAGTGACGGAGGCGCCCTCAGGGATTCGGGGAGCGGCTGGGTGCTGGGGGGTTGCAGGCGAGGCGGGGGGCTCTGTTGGTGAAAAACGAGGACCAGGGCTGGAGGCAGCGCCCGTCACCCGGCCACCCAGCCCGGGGTCCGAGCGCGCGCCCTCGGCGTGACGTCATCAGCGCGCGCCGCGCCGACTTCCGGGCGAGCGGAGGCTCCCCAGGCTCCTCCCGAGCGCCACCGGGGAAAAGGCCATGGGAACCCGGCTCCCTCCTCAGCAATGGCCCCTGGGTGCCGCCCGCGTCCACGGACCCCAAAAGCGGGGGCTGAGCGAGGCTCTGCCGGCCTGCGGCCTCTCGCACCGGCCGGGGGATGGCGACCCTCCCCTCCGCCCCGACGGGCACAGCCCCTCTCCCGCCCCCTGATCCACCCGCGGGATAAGCCTCAGGCCGCGATCGCGGGCAGTGGGTTTACCTTCCCCGCATCACAGCCGGGGGGACGGGGTCCCCTAGGCCCCGAGGGCAGGGGCGCCTCGCCGGGTCACCGGCCGCGGGGAGGAGGGGGTCGGCGGCGCGGTGAGAGCCTCGGCGGCTCCTACCCGGCCGGTGCCCAGGCTCAGGAGTTCCGGAGGCCGAGCTTTCCAGCGGGGGCGGGCGGCAGGCCACTGTGGGCATCGGAGTGGCATGGTTACCCCCTGAGGAGAGGACGCTCCTGTGGCCCAGTGGGGCCTGGCCGGTCAGGCTCGGGCCAATGGAGGGTTAAGTGAGCGGTGGGCGTGGCTGGCAACGGAGACGAAGGTGACAACAGGGAGGGTCGGAGGTCAGGGCTTGGCCCAATGTGAGCAGAGGGGAGGCGGCTCTCTGGGATATTCGCCAGGTGGGTGTGGGAAGAGGGAAGCTGCAAGGCCACACGAGGGACCACCTTGTTTTCTATGAAAATCACCCACGTAGTGGATCTACACCATGGATCCTCATGGTCCTTTGCAGCCAGTTCTCCACTGTGCCTGCATCTCCAGTCCCCTTCCAGATCCCGAGGCAGGAACTCCTTAGGCCCCTCATTTTGTGCCTCTTACCCCCCCCCACCCCCCCACTACCAGGGAATCTGTGAGAACCCACAGAAAGTCAAGAGAAAATATTCTGGCATCAAGTGAGATCGTGTCTGCTGTGGAAATTGAGGGTACAACCTGAAAAACAGACTTCTCTGTTGACAGAGAGCAGACAGGCCATTTGGCAGGAGTGACTGTGTGTGTGTGTGTGTATGTATTCTAAGCTCTGATTGCCATTCATCGCCCACACGGGGAATGGGGAAACCAGGGCACACCGGTGCAGTAGTGTCACCCAGCGAAGGAAGGGTTCAGGAAGGTGGGGTGGGGACTAGAGGGCAGCTGCCTGTGGCTACAGAGACTAGCCACACAGAGAGGACAGGGCTGGAGGTTGGCCAAGCCCTGCCCCAGAAGCAGACGCCACCCACCCCCTATTCCTTTGCCCTGTCTCTGAGGCCATTGTCCTTCCTGGGCACATTCTGTGATCCCAGGCGAGACTCTGCCAGATGGTGAAGGTTGCCTGAGGTTGGCTGGAGGCTGGCTGAGGCTTGCAGGAGGGTCTGGTTGTGGAAGGAATATGGTCTTCACACTCAGCTCACATCTCTGATAGTCAGACACAGCGTCTCCTCCCGGACACTGGCCTCCTCACAGACTGCAAGTCTAGTTCTGTTTCCTGATAACTTGAAGGTCTGTCCACATCTCTGCTCCTTTGCCCCTATAGTCACAGGGGCAGGCAATGAGTCTAGTCCCAGTGGTCCCATGTCTACACGGTCCCTGCCATCGGCCTCCTCTCCGCAGCCTCCGGGGTTTTCTCCAGGTCCTTACTTGCCTTTCCAGCTGCTCTCCCTCTGCTACTCCCTCCAGCCTTTATGGCCCTCAGCCCAGACACGTGTCTCCTGCCCCTCCCCCACCCCCACTTCTCTCAGGTCTCAGCCCTGAACTGAGGTTGCCTAACTTCAGGCAATGCCAACAGGGCAGGTGGCAACTCTGCTCACAGCCCCCAGGAGACTCACCCGGCTCAGCCAACTTTTCTAGCCGGGCTGCCTCCTTTCTGTCCACACTGTGCCGTGAGGCACAGCAGGGGCCCCTGAAGCTATGGCAGAGTTCCTGTCCCTCCTGAGTACAGGTCCCCACGGGCAGTCTTAATCCTTTCGTCCCTGTGAAGGCTCTGGGGTGCTGGTGAGCAGTGAGTAAGTGGCTACCATCCCAGGAGGTCAGTGTTCAAGGGCATTAGGGCCCCTCAGGGTCCAGCTGCTGGGCTTTGCCAACTCTAGGAACTACTTAGAACCAGAAAGACTACAATCTTCCTCTTGCAAACAAAGAAAAAGCCACCGAGTGTGGGCTTACTGTATTAAGCACTGACCTAAGCACCTTATACAGATAAAATTTCACTCTCGTAGCCCACTCTTAACAGATTAGGAAATTGAAGTTAGGTGACTTGCCTAAGGTCCTGCCCCCTCATGCTGTGTCCTGAACAGCAGATGCCAAGGGGGTATGTGCCCCTCTGGCCTCAGCAGTCTGTGCTGTGGGTCAGTGCTGCCCATCACCTGCTTTGATCCCCACAGTAAAGCTTCTGAGGCTGAGCTGGTAGCCTGAGGGTGAGGTCCCAGCGAGTGTCTGTCGCACACAGTGCTTCTAGTGCTTCCCGAGTTCCTGCAGTCTGGTGGGTAAGCAAGCTTTGCTGCTTGGACCTTCTCCGTCGTGGCAAAGATTGGTAAGTCTCCTGTATCAGGAGCACATGGCCCAACCCTTCTAAAATCCGTTCCTTGCTCTCCAAGCCCACACTGAGCCCCCAATCCCACCCCGGAATGTCCAGATGCAGGTGCTGTGGGATGTTACAGCGGGCACTCTCCCCAGCAGCAGCAGTTCGAGGGAGGGGACCGTCCTACTGGGAGGCTCCTGCTGGCAAGTTACTGTCCAGCCTCCCCCCCCAGCCTGAGCCAACCCTTCTCATGACTGTACCCACAGCGAGGGGTACTGGCTCACCCCATTCTGCTCTGGGTCTCCTCCACATGGCTATTGGGTGATGGTTCCAGCTCCTGCTATGAGGGGGGTGGGAAGAGCTCTGTATCCCCCAGCTTGTGCCTGGATCCCGGGATTCCAGCAGGAGGCACACCTTCCTTTGAGGGGTGAGGCTCCCCTAGGGCCCTGGTCAGGGAGCTCCACCTATTCCTGCTCCAGGCCTCTCAGTCCCAGTGGAGTGAGAAAAGGCTCCATGCTCAGAGCCTCAGGGGACATGCCCCACAAAACCCTTTACCTCAGACCATTTCACAGAGAAGCCAGGAGAGGGGGAGGGGCCTAATCACAGGTTGAAGGCTAAGAGCCCAGGAGAGCACCGTCTCCCCAGGCCCAACCAGCAGCATGGGGCAGCTCTCCATTCTGCCCACTCATGATTCCGGTGCAAGAGAGTGACCCCACAGGATTTTGGCCACAGGCCACAGGCAAGGCCCTGGACGAAGCCCAGATGTTCCCTGGCCTGGTGTGAGGTCTGAGGGTTGACACTGGCTACAGCTGGCTTGCCCACCTGCCTGCCAGTTGCCTGGCAGCCCTGGCCCCTTGCCAATATCCTCAGAAGGGCTGACCTTCACAGAGGCTTGGCCATCACTGCCCACCCACAAATGGGCCCACACAGGGACAGGAGGCTGTGACAGTATCCGGTTTATTCTGCCCTGGGAGGGTGGTCCTGAGAGCGGCGGGTGCCATCCTGTCCCAGGCGGAGGGAGGGCCCAAGGGCCAGTTAAGGCCAGTGGCAGGAAAAGCGGGGGGCATGCAGCCCCTGGAATGCAGTGAGGCCAGGCTGAGGCCCGGAGGCAGCTGTGGTACGCAGGGGTGGGTGCACCTGCTGCCCAGGGTGGAAGGCACCGGGCTGGGACCAAGCCGTGGTGACAGGGCTGTGGGCCCAAGCAACACGGGCACCCTGGGAAGTGGGACACAGGGTCACAGAACACAAAACATAAAACACAGGCACAAGACGTGCGAGTAAGAACATGGGCAGGGGCACAGATCTACAGGCCAGAGGACACCCAGCCTCTGCTGACACATGAGCACAAGGGTGGTGTCATTTGGACCACGAGGGACACAGTACTATGGGACATATGGGCTCAAAGGCTGAGGGGAACAGGCCCAGGCCATGGAATGCAAGGGGCGAGAGAGGGGGGCCTTTTGGCACGACTGCACTGGAATCATGAGAAGAGGGTGGAGGGGGTTGGTCTGGAGGTGCCTGAGGGCAGCCCGAGGCGGGCCCTCGGGGCTCAGTCTGTCTGCCACACTTTGTTGAGCAGCTTCACCACTTCATCGTAGATGATGAACACGATCGCCACGTCCATACAGACGCGGCCCAGTCGGGGAATGGTGCCCTTGTAGAACCTGGGTTAGTGAGGAAAACCCCGGTGAGGAGGCAGACGAAGGACACGGCCCCTAGTCAGGGCGGGCGGGTCCGGACATTGGAGGGGCAAGGACAGGGACCTAAAGGTAAGGACTTCCCAGGGGAGGGCCTGGGGCAGGCAGGGGTTTTGGGGTGAGGCCTAGGGAGGCCAGGGAGGGCCTGGGGTGAGGAAAACAGCCCTGTCTGTCACTCACGCCTTGAGCCCCTCATTCCTCAGAATCTGCATGCCGCAGTCCCATGTGTTCCGGTATTTGTGTGCCTCCAGGCCCTGCAAGACACCAGCACCCCACGGGACTCAGCAGCCAGCCCCTGCCCCACACTCCCCTCCCCTTCTCAGCTCTATCCCACCTGCATCCGGGTTTTGATCACGTCCAGAGGAGTGTTCCCGAAGACACTGGCTGCACCCGCAATAGCTCCAAAAACCCCGGTGATCAGTGGGTTCATGGGCTTGTTGGGCTCCTCCCCTGGAGGTGGGTGGGGTTGCGATCAGAAAGTGACGGGAAGTGAAGGGGTCAGCTCTGATGGCTGGGGAGGAGTGTGAGCGAGGGCTTGTGAGGTGGGGTCCTGGGGCGGCACACATACCTCGATACCAGTTGCGCAGGGAGGTCATGACGAAGAAGCGGATGGCCTGGTTGGAGCCCTGCTTTAGCACGGTGGCTGTGAGGCCCTGGTATGTCCCCTTCAGCCCTGGGGGCAGGCAGGAACGGAGGTTACACTGGCTCACAGGCCCAGTGGGGGCCGGGGGAAGCTGCACACAGGAGTGCCAAGGCAGAAAGAGGAAGGGCCCTCCATTCTGGCTGATGTCCCTGATCCTACCCGAAGAGGAAGGCCCAGTGGCTCACCTTGTTCCCGCACAATCGCCCGGACCCCATGGAAGAATCCTCTGTACTTGGGGTTGGGGGAGGTCTGGTCATGGATGAACTTCACCTGAGAGAGGGAAGCAAAGGAGCTGGCTCCCAGGGTGCCATGGGAGGCACACTTGGCCCCTTGGCTTGCAGGTCCAGAGCCCACCAGTCAGGCCAGGGTTGTAGATACAGATCCAAACAGGGCCAATAAGGCCACTGTGCCACTTGAGGCCAAAGAGACAAGAGGGCCCGCCTCGCTAAGTTGTGTTGGTGGTGTTGCCTGTATCTCAGGCAGCAAACATTGTTTTGTTTATAAAAGTATTTAAAAAACAAAAACAAAACTTACCATCTTCCTCCTGCTTTCAGAACAGAATCCAGCCTCCACAGGAGGCCCATCCTGCAGGCCTCCTGCACTCGGCTCCCCATTCACCTCTTGCCCCTCCTGCTGGACCCTCCCACCTCAACATCTCCATTGGACACGGGGCCAGGGCATCACCCCGGGCTGCACCACCTCCCCACCCCCCCTTGTATGCTTTGTTCCTACAGGGAACCTCCCCACCTTCACGGTCTCCATTGGACACACGACCACCACGGCCTCGGCCACTCCCGCGCCCAGACCACACAGCAGCCCCCTCGTGCTGTCCAGCCGTCCCTGGGCGTCCCGCATGTGGTTGCTGAGGAACTCAAACATCCCGAACCTTGGGGGCGGAAGGCAGTGGGGTGAGAGGGGCCGCCACCACCCTCGCCACCTTCCAGAGACCGCCCCCACGCCGGGCCCGCCTCACCTAACGGCCGCCTTGGGGATGGAGCCGTAGAGCAGGGAGCTGAGGCCTCGGTACAGGCCCAGGACGCCATGGCTGCGCACCGTCTGCCGCACACAGTCCCCTGGGGAAGGGGGTGGTCAGCGACTCCGGCCCCGGGGCCCGCCCCTCGGGGCTCCCCGCTGCCGCCCCCGCTCACCGATGCCCCGGTAGCGCGGCGGGTGTGCGCGCTCGTCCAGCTGCAGCTGCGTCTTCACGTACTCGGTGGGGAAGGTGATGCAGATCTCGATGCCTCCGGCCAAGCCGCCTGCGGGAACGGACTCGGGGTCTGAGACCCCCTCCCCCCGGGGGCCCCGCCCCGCCCCCGCCGCCACCCCGGACTTTGTCCGGCAGGTCCCAGCCCCACCCCGTCTCCCCAGGAGGCTCCAGGGGTGACACAGGGTGAGGGGGGCCCGGCGCCGCGCCCCCCGCCCAACCCGGAAGTGGGGAGGGGCCTCGGCGGTCCGGCCGCCCAGAAGCCGGCGGGGCCCGTGGACCAGGGGTTCGCGCCCCCGAGGAGCCCACCTGCCAGGATGGCCTTCCCCGGGTGCGTCAGTTTGGCCTTTCCGGGCGCAGCGGCCGCTAGGTCGCGAGGCGCCGCCATTGCGGAGAGCAGCAGGCGAGGGGCGGGGCGCCCGGCGCTGGCCGCGGGTCCGAGCCTCCGGTGCTCCGCGGAGCCGGCCTGCGGAGGTGGCGGCGGCTGGTTATGTCCGGGGGCGGGGCGGCCGCGTCAGCTCCAGGGCTCCGCCCCGCGTGGTTCGAGCCGGGCCCCGCCCCCACCCCGCCCCGCGTGGGCCGGGAAACTGAGGCCGGGGCGGGGCGGGACCGGAACCAGCCAATGGACGAGCCCGGCCCCTGGGCCACCCGCTCGGCGGCCGGGGTCCTCGGCGGGCGGCGCTGCCGGGCCGGAGCTGGGGGTCAGGGTGCAGCCTCCTAGCGGGCCGGGCCCTGAGCGCAGCGAGGCGCCCACAGGAGCTGCTCGGGGTCTGCACTCCCGACCCGCGCGGCAGGACCCCCAGGACCCGGGATGGCGGCGGAGAGACCCGTGGGCCGGCCCCATCCGTGCTGTTTGAGGGTCTGGCCTTACCATACCTCCGGGCTCGGCGGTTACCACTCCCCTTCCGGGATTAGAACTCCAAGCTGTGCACACGGTCCATAAAAGACCCCAACGCCCGGCTGTATCCCCCGGGGCGGCTTCCCTGTGTGGATGCAGGTCCCTCAACCCCAGAGGGCCCGGCAGATTGCTTGCCCCCTCCTACCTACACCAGCACCAAGCAGGGAAGCTTTGCCTTGATAAACCGACTTTAATATTCATGATCAGCAGGAGCTCAAGGCCAGATCGGACGGGTGGACTAGCTGTGTCTGCAAAGTGACCAGGAGCGGGCAGCTCGCAGTGCCAGCGCCAATGGAGAGAAGGCGCCCCTCCCCCAGTGCTGGGGCCTCACTGCAGACAAGAACTCCTCAGGATGCTGGCCTCCCTGCCTGGCACCGGGAGCTGGTCGTCTTAGGTAGTCAAGGGTTTCCTTGACACCCCCAGGTTCTGGGATGGCTCAGGGGCTACAATCAGTGGGTCTCAGCAAAAATAAATAGCATCCAGCCCTATCTGGTTTGGCTCAATGAATAGAGCGTCGGCCTTTGGACTGAAAGGTCCCAGGTTTGATTCCGGTCAAGGGCATGTACTTTAGTTTCGGGCTCATACTCAGTAGGAGGTGTGCAGGAGGCAGATGATAGATATTTCTAACTCTATCCTTCTCCCTTCCTCTCTGTAAAAAATCAATAAAATATTTAAAAAAAAATAATATCCAGGTGTCTCCATCTTGTATCCAGGTCCTCTGTGCTCCTTGAGGTTAATAAATTGGTAGAGGGACTGTTGCCACTGAATGTCCATGCAGCCATACACAGGAGGCTGGGCAACGCAGGAATAACCAGAGGGGGAGCCACAGGGGCTGTTCCAGTAGGAGGGCCTGCTGTCAGCATCAGCTGCAAGCTTGCAGAGGAAGAAGCCAAAGATGAGCGGGGCTCCTGCTGCCCCCAAGTGGCCAGGGCCTCAAGGAGCAGGGTTGCAGCTTAGTCTTAGTCATCCAGAGCAAGCATGTCAAACTCAAGGTCCACAACGAATATTTTTTGGGCCCAGCCAATATAATGGTAAGAAACGTTTTGCTTTTAAATATATTTTTATTGATTTCAGAGAAGGAGGGAGAGGGAGAGAGAAAGAGAGAAAAAAACATCAACGATGAGAGATAATCATTGATAGCCTGCCTTCTGCATGCCCCCCACAACCAGGGCATGTGCCCTTGACTGGATTCAAACCTGGGACTTTTCAGTCCACACACAGGCTGACGCTTTATCCACTAAGCCGAATCGGCTAGGACAGTGGTCGGGAAACTCATTAGTCCACAGAGCCAAATATCATCCTCTCTCATCGATGTTTCTAGCTCTCTATCCCTCTCTCTTCCTCTCTGTAAAAAAATCAATAAAATATATTTAATAAAAACAGATTGAAAAAAAACCAAACACTTTGACATTAATGGTAGGTGGGCACCATAACCCCCCAAGAGCACACAGTTGGAGGAAGACTCACGTGTTGCGTGTTCGCATTACACCCTCAGGTCTATGTTAGTCCAGCAATGCATTCTAGCATCATAGCCTCTGTGCAGTGGATACCGAATAACTGTCTGCTGAATGGCCAGGCCATCCAGGCAGGTTCTCAAGTGTCAGGGGCCAGACAGGTGGACACAATTGCCAGGCACAAGGAATAGGCAAGGGCACCATCACCAGAAGGTATTTGTCCTCAGAGAAGGGAGGATAGTGGTGGTGCCTCTTTGACATTCCTGGATCACTGACCTTCTTCTGCCTTTTCTACATCTGGCAGCCATTGTGGTCCTCATCCCCCATCCTGTCCAATCTCACACCAATGGGAATCCCAGCCAGGACAGGGGACTGGAGCTATGGGATGCCACCTGCTAAACAGGAGGGGGTGGGCTCTACCACATGCTTCTTTCACGTGTGCAGACTCTCTGAGGTGTCTAGTCTGTCCCTGCTAAGCAGAGCAAGAGGCAAGAGCATGTGAGTGCCTGCCTTACATCCACATGCAGTCCTGGCCTGGAGGTGAACTTGGGAGGCAAGCACATAGCCTCCAGGCTTTGGAGCTGAGGACAGGCACCCAGAACCCTGCTGCACTGACAGTGACCACCACTTCATTCCTCAAAGCGAAGCCTCTCTAACCAGGTGGAGCTGAGTGCCCACTGGGGCCCCGATGAGCCCCAGGTGCGCTTCCATCCCTGTACTTCCCAAGTGGCCACGTGACCAACAGGTGCACTGGAGCAGTGAGCTGTGAGTGGGCCGTGACTCACAGGGTTGGTTCTCCTCTGGACACAGGGACGCTGCTGAGACAATGCAGTAGCTCCTGCTTCTAGAGTGCAGGCTGCTCACCCCTTCTAAGGATACTGGTCACCTTACACCTGGGGCCCTCCACCTGGCAAGGAGGATGCTCCCTCAGAGGCAGGGGCTGTGATGGCCATCTGCAGACAAACTGCACTTTGCCTTTCTCTGAGGCTTCACCAGGTGCAGTGGAACAGACAGACAGACGGAGAGGGAACAGAATGAGGTGGTGCTATGGAGGATGTAGTGTGCTAGAAGGAGTGACAGCAACGGTGTGTCTGGGACCCCCCCAAACAAGCACATGGGTAAGAAAGAAGAAACGGTACGTGCCCTGTGTGCACTCAGGTCTGGGAGGGCTCAGGCAAGGCACCGGAAACCTAGCAGAGACAGCTCTGATGCCAGCCCTGTGCACTCCCTTTCCTCTTCCCTCCATGGGACCCGCGCTAAGGAAGGAGCAAGAAAACTGTCCCCTCTCAACCTGTCCCCTCTGCCTTCAGCTGGCTGTACTGGGAGAGCGCTGGGGAGCAGACGGTTCTTAGCGAGGGATGGCCATTGAGCTTCTCAGGTGAGTCAAGAGGCCTGGGACCAGGATCTCTAGTCAGGAAGGGGCTGTGGCATTCTTATCTGCCTCACAACAGTGCCCAGTCTGCTGGGCCCCAGCCCCCAGGAACCAGCTAAACTCTCCCACTGCCGGCGGAATCCCTCGTGAGCACCCTCCTCTCCCCACCAGGTGGGGGCTAGCAGAGGCATGTGGGGCAGGACTGAGGGCAGGCACCACGGCAGCTCCTGCCTTCTAGGACTAGGAAAGGTGCCTGGGGACCCTGGGCCAGGGACCAGGGTCCTTCCAGAGAGAAGGCACACTTCATGGGTCCCTCCTCCTGCGGCAGGGCCATGGCCTTGAGTGGCCCTGGGATGGCCCAGAGGAAGCCCTTGCAGGCCGAAGCCGGTAGCACCAGACCCCATCCCCTCCGTTTTTCCCTAACCCCACACTAACCCTGGGGGGCTCCCCCTTCCATGCACACTGAAGGAAGCCTTGGCCCGTGGCTTGTTGGCACTGTGGGGCCTCCGTCTGGCTGGCAGAAGGTTAGGAATGTGGCTCGAAGGGCAAGTAGGCACTGCTGAGCGATAGCTTTTCTACAGACTTAGACACAAATCGGACCGGATGATGTGTCTCTGGAGAGTGGCTACAGCTGGGCCCTCGACAGTGACTCCTAGGGCTTCCACTCCCAGGAAGTTGAAATTAGACACTGTCACCTCGTCAAACAGCTCATCAGCCTGCAAAGAAAGCCAGATGGGACACTAGGGACACCAAGTGAGATGTGGAGTGGCAGGAGTGATGTGCCAAGACAGGAGTGTGGCCTCTGGGCCAGGAAGACTCGTGCCTAAACTCCCAACCCCTTCACCTGTCAGCTCTGGGCCTGAGCCCCGGTGTCTGCCGCTGTGGAGGGGATGACTGTTTCCTCCATTAAAGGCTGACATCCACGTTAACATGCCTATTCACTGCCCCTCCCACGGCCAATAGCTGGCGCTGAGGGGTGGCTGGTCCTCACCAGCTGTCCCTGGGCCCTCTGGTGGTGGGTGAAACCACTGCACCCCCCTCAGATCCTCCCCTCCACTGTGTGGAACTGCTGAGAGGGCAAATGCTCAGTTCTATCCAGCTCCCCACCGCCCCACGGTGATTTTCTAGAAATGATAACACCGGGAAGAAAAACCATCAAGTGCAAAGGCAAGAGGCTTCTCTCAACAGCAGCCTGCGCTGGTTGGGCAATCTGGGCTGGTCTCGAACCAGCCGCTGCAGGGCCTCTGCAGACCAGAGCCAGTCACAGCCAGGGGCCAAGGAGCCACGGAAGGGCAGGCACTTACTTTGCTAAGGTTCTCCCTCATCACCTGGGCGAAGCAGGTCACGGCCAGGCCTACCAGGTTGTGCCTCCAGGCCAGCTCCAGCGTCACCTTCGGGGAAGCAGGCTGTAGCAGGTGAAGGGAGAGGCTGCCAAGCACTCCTGCTGGCCCTCCGGGGACCCCTGCAGCAGCTTCTTAGCCATCGTGGTGCTGACTCTGCAGTGCGCTGCATGGAGTCCTGTCCTGCAACCGAGGCAAATGCACAGCTTGGCCACCCTGCCTTTCTGGGCTGACAGGGTTCAGGAGCAGTGCCAAGCTCCAGGAAGGCCCTTCCCTCATCCCCGTAGGGTTCCCTGTGCTCAGTGGTTACAGCATTGGCCCCAG